TTCAAATGTCTACTGTGAAAGATATCATAAAGCCTTAATGCAATTGGATGTAGAACAAAAAAGTGATGATGAAAGAAGTCAATCGGTCAGATTTGACCCGAAGGTTAAAACCTTCTACATCAAATCTTCCTTATTTTTTGGATCATATTTAAGACTTTTTTAAGAGCCTGCGGGAACCCTGTCATCCTCACCGTCTTCTTCCTCCTCTTCTTCTTCCTCCTCCTCCTCCTCGTCCTCCTCCCCTGGGCTGAAGCTGTAAGCCTCGCTGTGGTCGTGTTCTTCCTCTTCCTCATCCTCCTCGTCTTCCTCCTCCTCCTCCTCGTCTTCCTCCTCCCCCTCGCTCCTCATCTCCTCCACGCTGCTGTCATCGTCGTCGTCGTCGTCGTCATCATCATCATCAACGGCCTCTTCCTCGTTCTCGTCCAGCTGCTCCTCCTCCTCCAGGTCTGAGAGATGACCTGATGAGTGGACGGACATTAACCAACGTATGCATTTGTTCCCCAACTCAATGACACCAACACCTCTCCGTATAATGCTAAATGATGTTATAGCACCACAACTGGCAGCCTGGGGCATTTACCGTTAAGTGAAATGAACATCTCTGAAACAATGCAAACAAAAACATTGAACATTTTAACTTGCAGTAAGGTGGCATTTCTTAAACAAGTGGAGAAGATGTGTTATTAAATACATATATAAAGAGGTTAGAAAAGTGTCAAAATAACTTTAATTTCACAGGAAGACTAGGGGTTGAGGAATGTGAGCATTTGGTTTAGGGTGTTGTCAAATATTTTTTTTTATTTTTTTATTTTGATATACTTTATTAATCCCTGTGGGGAAATTGTTTCTCTGCATTTGACCCATCCTAGTGTTAGGAGCAGTGGGCTGCCATTATGTACGGCGCCCGGGGAGCAGTGTAGGGAACGGTGCCTTGCTCAGGGACACCTCGGTAGCACTTGGTCTTGCTGGGACTTGAACTGTTGACCTTCCAGTTGCCAAGCCAAGTCCCTATCGACTTCGCCACCACCGCCCTACAAATATAAAATAAATAAATATCTGGAACAAAGTACCAGAACTCTGACTACTTTGCAATCCAGGCTGAAGACTTTTCTTGTTGCCGCTACTTTTAAATTGAACTATTCACATCTCACAATTATCATTGCTTTTTTAATGTTTCTAATGTGATTTATGCTCTTAATGTCTTTCATTGTTGTGAAGCCCTTTGAATTGCCTTGTGTTGAAAGGTGCTGTATAAATAACCTTGTCTGTAACAAATGAAAACTGCCCGTCTGACAGCGTTTAGCATGATGTGACGTAAGGAGACGTTCTTACACAGGGAGTTAATGGTGGCGATAATGTGACACGGTAGTTCCTCATCAAGGAATTTCCTCATCTCTTCCTCCATCATCACTCCGAGGACCTCCGTCTCCATGTCCACGTACTCTGGGTAGAACATGTTCTTTCTCAGCTGCTTACGACACCTAGAACACAAACACCATGGATCAGGGCTTCCGTTTGCATTCAATCAAATATTAAAAATAAAGATTTGTTGATTTGTCAATTGAAAAATCTGATTTTTTTAATATTTATTTTAAAACAAAAATGCAAAACATGCTGGTTGTAGCTTCTCAAATGTCACCAGTCTATTCAAATCAAACTGTGATGTTTGACAGTAAACTGAATATCTATGCATTTCGGACGTTGTTAATAAACACATATGAATGAATCAATCTAGAAAATATGCAGCTAATGATCATTAATGAACATGGGAAACATTGAAGCAGCACTTACTGCTTTCCTGTTGTCTTGTAAGCCTAAAGAAGAGATGAAAACAACACATGCTTGAAAACTGAATTACACCAAAAGTACTTTTCATTCAAATGACCTCGTTTTAGTAACGCAGCACCAAACACATCGATTGGGAATCTTTAGGAAATGAACCTAAACCTAAAATGATATCTTTGTAATTCACACATTCATTTTAAAAGCTACGGTCTTTTGATACACTTTGGGGAAAGGTTGGCAGTTCTACATCAACATGTGTCCCCTCTTCTTCATGTCTCTTCTACATCACCATGTGTCCCCTCTCCTTCATGTCTCTTCTACATCAACATGTGTCCCCTCTTCTTCATCAACATGTGTCCCCTCTTCTTCATGTCTTTTCTACATCAATATGTGTCCCTCTTCTTCATCAACATGTGTCCCCTCTTCTTCATGTCTCTTCTACATCAACATGTGTCCCCTCTCCTTCATGTCTCTTCTACATCAACATGTGTCCCCTCTTCTTCATGTCTCTTCTACATCAACATGTGTCCCCTCTTCTTCATGTCTCTTCTACATCAACATGTGTCCCCTCTTCTTCATCAACATGTGTCCCCTCTTCTTCATGTCTTTTCTACATCAATATGTGTCCCCTCTTCTTCATGTCTCTTCTACATCACCATGTGTCCCCTCTTCTTCATGTCTCTTCTACATCAACATGTGTCCCCTCTTCTTCATGTCTCTTCTACATCAACATGTGTCCCCTCTTCTTCATGTCTCTTCTACATCAACATGTGTCCCCTCTTCTTCATCAACATGTGTCCCCTCTTCTTCATGTCTTTTCTACATCAACATGTGTCCCCTCTTCTTCATGTCTCTTCTACATCAACATGTGTCCCCTCTTCTTCATCAACATGTGTCCCCTCTTCTTCATGTCTTTTCTACATCAATATGTGTCCCCTCTTCTTCATGTCTCTTCTACATCAACATGTGTCCCCTCTTCTTCATCAACATGTGTCCCCTCTTCTTCATGTCTTTTCTACATCAATATGTGTCCCCTCTTCTTCATGTCTCTTCTACATCAACATGTGTCCCCTCTTCTTCATGTCTCTTCTACATCAACATGTGTCCCCTCTTCTACATCAACATGTGTCCCCTCTTCTTCATGTGTCCTCTACATCAACATGTGTCCCCTCTTCTTCATGTGTCCTCTACATCAACATGTGTCCCCTCTTCTTCATGTCTCTTCTACATCAACATGTGTCCCCTCTTCTACAT